TTGCAGAGGAAGTCTTCACAAGTTCAGCAGTGTGTGTTTGAACTTCCCCATAAAACCTTCCACCAATTCTGCAGGTTTCAGCGTAGCAAGGCCTGTGGGAGTGTTCACATGGAAAATGGGTTCGCTCCTCCCTCATGCATGTGGTGGATGTGTGGATAAAACTTCTGAAGAAGGCTCAAGAAGCAGTTTGAGGATGGTGCCATGTTCTTGGCAGGCTGGAATCACCAGAGGTGTATCGAGGGTTCCTTGTGCCCTTGGCAAGGAGCTGTATCGGCACCCCCCACAACGGAAAAAGTCACTTTGCCACAATAGCCACATCAGAAATTACTACAATTTTACGTGATCCAAGTACTCAAAGTTTCTGGATTAAGGGTGAGATGAGGAGAAAGGGGAGGGGATTGCACACCTTTGTGCCACAGTGCGAGGACAGGAAGCTTCTCTTGAATTTGATTGTGACAGCGGTGATGGATTGCTACACACATAAACGCCATAGGCTCCACAGTCTGATAGCTGACTTTTGTGCCCGGGCCCCAGGCCTGCACTGCTGGTGAGAGCAAGTTTTGCAGACCCCTAGGTACTCCTCCATGGACAGTCCCATGGACTGCAAGAAGATCAAACCTCTCCATTCTTAAGGAAATCAGCCCTGAGTGCTCACTGGAAGGACAGATCCTGAAGCTGAGGCTCCAATACTTTGGCCACCTCATGAGAAGAGAAGACTCCCTGGAAAAGACGCTGATGTTGGGAAAGATGGAGGGCACAAGGAGAAGGGGACAACAGAGGACGAGATGGTTGGACAGTGTTCTCGAAGCTACCAGCATGAGTTTAACCAAACTGCGGGAGGCAGTGGAAGACAGGAGTGCCTGGCGTGCTCTGGTCCATGGGGTCACGAAGAGTTGGACATGACTAAACAACTAAATAACAACAGGTATGCCTCTATGAATCACTTGGCAGAGATCAGGCTTAACCTCCACCCTTATAGGTTGAACTGTTGCTACTCATTACTATGAGGAAAAGGAAAGATGCACATTGCAAAACTATGGTGAGGGCGAATCCTGTCTTCAGTCCAAGGGGGTGGGGTGGAGGTGGGCACAGGAATCTCATCCTGCTTTCCAGTCCCTTCAATGCAACGAGTCCTTCCTCCATGCACTCTTCTCATTTTTATCGGGACTTTGCTAGAGTTTAAACAGGAGCTGATCTTTCTTGCAAATCTGTCTCGGAACGCCTTAAAATACCATGGCATGCTGCAGCAGGCTGTCTGGGTCCCCCTTTGAAGTGAAGCAGCAGTGTTTCCAACAAAAGGCAACCCATCTGCCTCACATTACTTTCCATGCCTCTCAAGCAGTGCCAATGCCTTTTTTTGGTCCGTCAGTATCCCCTTGCTAAATTGGGCTCACGCAAAAAATAAAAAATAAAAATAAAAATGAGAAACATTTTGAAGTTTAGGACAAAGAGCCCTGCCCGAGTGTTCACATTTCTTAGTCAGGTCGTTTTGGGGCTTTTTAAGGTACCGATTGTTTCATCTGCACTCTTTCTCTACCTCCCAAACATACCCTTTGAGCTGTTCTTTAATTGAAGTAAATGTAACAGCTGCTACTTTGTGTGTTGTTTTTCCCATTTTCCCCTGTGAGTCACACATTTCCTTCCTTAATGTCTCTATCTTCTATCGTCCTGTGCTAATGAAGCCCCAGACTTTCAGCTGCTGATGTTTCTGAAGTTGTATGCCTGGAATCTTTAAAGCCATCAAAATTAATTTCCTACTTTCTCCCTAGTTCTTCTTAATTATTTTTTTTGGGGGGGGTGGGCGCTGTAAAAACTGCTTGGAAAAAGGCAGTGTCAGACCTGACGGGTGTCGTGTCTCCCTAAGTGGCAAAATGATTGGAAATGCGGAAGAGGCAAATGGAGCAATCCTGGCTGGTGGTTATCTTAATCAAAAGCCAAACCAAGAAACAAGTCAATGGTCTGATGCAGGTAGGTGAATGTCCTGCAGCAGGGGACATAGGCAGCTGCCTTATAATGAGTTAAACCACTGATCCATCCAGCTCAGTATTGTCTATAGTGACAGACAGCAGTTCCCCAGTTTTCCACACAAGGGACCTCTCCCAGCCCTACTTGAAGATGTCAGTGGCTGAGCCTGGGACCTTCTACCTGTGATGCTCTACCAGTAGGTTGACAACCTTCTTTTCCCCTCAAGGGCCATGCTCCCTCAAGAGTAATCTGTTGGGGTGGTGGGGTGGAGGATGCTGCAGAGTGCAGAATCGGAGACAAAGGTGTTCTGGATTAACTAATCTAAAATAAAGATTGCCCTGCACCATGGCTACCTCAGATTAGAATTCCCAATTCTATGCAGGTCTTATCAGAAATAAGCTCTGCTGTCTCTCTTGGGGTGAATAAGTATACAGGGCATTTTTTCGCCCCAGCACAACAGACCAATGTGGTAAATGTGCTGGAAAACAAATGAAAGCATTTCCTTCCCGACTTCGTTCTCTCTCCCTCCCTCTCTCCAGAAGCATACCAGTTTGTTGTCAGGCTGCTGGAGCATTCATGGTGGGGACAGGCTTAAAAATTATCTTTGGATGGAGGGTGGTATACAAATTTACCATAATAAATAGCTGCTGCTGCTGCTGCTGCTGCTTCTTCTTCTTCTTCTTCTTCTTCTTCTTCTTCTTCTTCTTCTTCTTCTTCTTCTTCTTCTTGCTGTTTCTTCCAGTTGTTCTGATTGCACTTCTCCAAATTTTGCAATGTAGCTTTCTAGCCAAGTAATGTGTACAAAAAAGTCATAGACGAGGGTAAAGTTTGCAAAAAAATGCATTTATTAGTGAAGATAACATACAAAAATACTATATTTCAGGGTAAATTGCTTTGCAGAAAGGTATATATTAGGAAGAAATTGTGTACAAAAATGTGTATATTATGAGATGTTTGCACTAAAACGCTGGTGAATTTTCATGGGAACTTTGAAAAATAAATCTTCATACAGTAAACTGATGTGGAAATGTGGAGAGCTGAGCTTAAACTGGAAAAAAGAGAAACTGAGAGGACCCAAAAAGGACAGTTTTTCCCATCCCTAGCTACATCCTCCTATTTTGGTTACATTCTTGCTGTGATCTTTGATGGCCCCAGAGCCCACCCAATATGACCCAGGGACCGAGAAAGAGAAACATCCCAACATGCTGACGAGCTTAACTCTTCTTTTCCACACGAAACTCATTTTGTCTCCCTTCTGAGAGAAGCATGCTTAACACAGAGCTTGTGAGGAAAAGCATTTACATGTGGGTGACATTTCTGTATTTAGCTTCTGTTGATCTGTGTCAATCTCTCTGTGTTACTTTTTCCTGCCCGATATGCAGAGCTTGCTTGCTAAAAGCATGCATACACCCCCCACCCCGTGTCTCAATTCATCAGGTGCAAATCAGGTGTGTACAAATCAAGATTTTTGTGTGTGAACACATAACCAGTTTAATGCTTCTTGGCCATTACTATAAATGCTAATTTCCAAGAAGAAATTGCAGAAATATGCAGGGAGAGGCACAAACTGCGCACCAAATTTTCCAGGTCATCAAGTCCCATTTATGACTTTTTAAAAAGCAGTTGCGATTCTTCCATCCAAACACTTATTGAAAAATAATTTTTTTTTAAAGCTTTCTATCTTTTCCACTGGAGTGCAAATTAACAGTTGATACAAAGCAATTCTTCCCCCCCTTTTTTCTTGAGAACGCTTCAGAATACCTTTTAACAAGATGTTCTGTTGCATAACTTTGAGGAAATGTTGTTGAGAATGGCTTTGAAATGCTTTGTAATTGTATAAAAATTAAAATGGGACAAAATGCCTGTAAGAAGCAATATGGTGAATTTGGGCATGTTACCTAGTAAAAAGGTGTTCTGGTCTGGATTTTATCTTGCTCCATTCCTGTCCTGACGAGAACAGCGCTGCCTCTGCCCTTATGAGCCATCACTGGCTGAACCTATGCAATGCTAAGCACTAATGAGTTCAGTGGACATAATATAGGACACATAAGACTGCATTGGATTTTGGTCATGCTAATCCTAATGAATTGGGTGTTATGCTAAGTACTGTTGTGTGTGTTTGTGTGTGTGTACCAGAACTTCGAAAGATCATCTTTAAAAGGAGCTAGTCCAAGTTCGACATCCGAACAGGAAGACATTCCAGTTCTACAAAATTAACTAGTTCAGGTCATGTTCAGGTCACATTTCAATTCAAGTTCATCCAAATGATCTTCAGCAATTCCCCCCCCAAGCATTCACAATGCTCCAAGCTGCTGTTCTGCACTATATACTTAAGAGGACTAAGAAAACACCAAAGCACACACACAGTGAATTGTTTCTTTTCACCAGCAATTAAAGCCCCACCATGAAAGTCTACAGAAACACATGTAAGAGAATGAAGTTGAAGGTCAACTAGAAATTGTTCAAATTTCTACCACAAAATGAACTCAATTCACTGTTCAGTTCACCCGGCAGTTAAGGGAACTACTCTCAAGTGTAGTTCAGGGACCTATTTCAGAGAACTTCATTAAACCAAACCAGTTCATTCCAAGCACTGGAATATATTGCATTTCAGAATGTACCACTTCATAGCTGGTTTCCAAGAAAGAAGACCCCTGTTGGGGGAGGTGATTCGGAGCCAGTGAAATATGGTGGGGCATACAAATTGAGAGTCCTGGGGAGTCTTCACTGCCATGTTTTCATTTTTGTGCAGTTGGACTACAGGGATGGCACAATAAAAGTGGGTCCTGAAATTGGGACTGGGTCTAGGCAAGTCTTTGACTTGACTGACTGCTAGCACTGGCCATATTGTGTACTGGTGCAAGTCTACATCTGTACCTTTCTAAGGCTGCCTATGATTCTGTTTTGAAATAATGAAAATGTCAGCACTAATGAAAAGGCTTCTTGGAAGGGATATCTAATTGATTTCCCTGCTGCCCTGAAATATAAAGGCTACCAGAAGAATCAGTGTCTCAGTGCATGATCCTTGTAAATGACTGTGTTATCAACAGAGGGCGGGCTGTCCATTCCCAGAGGGATTTTCTTCTTGCTTTTAATTGCTGTGGGCTCCTTTCTTCAAAAACACACATAAAAGCTCAAAGCAAACAATAAACAAAACATTTCCTCCTTCGTTGTGAGGCCTCCCATAGATGTCCCTTCATCACCATAGAGATATGGCTGTTTGCAAAGAAGAAAAGAGCTATTGGAATTCAAACTGGACCAAAATGTTGAAAAAGAGCCTAACAACAAACAAACCTATTATAAATCTTCAATTACTTTCAAACTGTTGGGGCTGATTAAAAAATGTAAATGCCCCGTTCACACTGGCAACACTTCTATAAAAATGCATGAAGCTAAAAGGCAGAAGCTGGAAAAAGCCTGCCTCGGAGCCAGCCATAATTTTTCTGCTCTTTTAGGGTTTCACCACCACCCACACAGAAATTCGCTAAGTTCAAAGGCAATTCAAGCACATAATTTCAAGCATGACATATACTGCCTCCCCCTACTAAATGTTTAACAGGTAACTGGGTAGATTAAGCTGTGGATTTGGATGTGTATACTATATAATGCATTATAAATGTTTCAGATGTGAAATAAAGCATAGTCCAATCCACGAGCTTTTCTGTAACAAGACCTTCTCTCTCTCTCTCTCTCTCCCCCCCCACTCCCCCCCCATGCTGCTGCTGGAGAGTGTGTGTGAATGAACCAATCATGTAGGCTGAGCCAATTGTCTGGGTCTTTCCCAACTCATCAGTATCTTCCCTCCTGACAGAGTGATGGGAGAGACTCACCCAACTGGCCACAGCCGCACAGGTCTCATATCTACATCATACATTTAAAGCACATCACTTTCCCCCCAAGAACTCTGGGAGCTGTAGTTTACCCCCTCACAGAGCTACAGTTTTCAGTAGCCTTAACAAACTACAGTTCCCAGGATTCTTTGGGCAAAGTCATGTGATTTGAACCTATGGTGATGACATGGCCACAACTGCTTAATCTGTACTTCTTATAGTGAGGGCTTCTAAGCCACTTCCATGCCGCTGTGTGAAGCAACGGTGAGATGTATTCTCCTTGCCTTATCATACTCAAAGCTGAAGGCCTTGCTTTTTCCAAGCTCAGAATGTCAAGACAGGGGCCTGCAGCTTCTTTATTCCCATTGGAGCCAACAAAAAGACTTCATTGAAGCAGACACCCCTTCCAGCCTACCCTTCTCCCTCACTGCTGGCTCACTGCCCTTCACTGCCATGCACTAATGGGCCACTTATTTAATATACAGTTTTAGGCTGAGCCTCAATTGTTTCTGAGAGACAGGTAGGCTCACAGGGTGGAACGCTGGAATAAATTTATCCTAGCTGGTGTTGCAAGTCAGATTCCAATTCTAGGCAGCTGAATGCATCTTGTGCTTTTCAATATTTACTGTTCATCTCAATGGAACCATTTTTCTATTAATGTTTTTCTTCACCTTTCTCCCTTCCCCTCATCTTTTCTCTCTCTCCGATTTTTCTCTCGCCTTCTTTCCTGCTCAACTATCTTATTGCATTGTGTGTGTGTGTGTGTGTGTGTGTGTGTGTGTGTACAGGTAAGGGTTGGCTTGCCGTGACTCTTCTCTTGAAGCTTGGTCCTTGCTGGTCTCCCCTGTTGAAAGGAAAATAGAATAGAAAGCGTGAAGCAGCAGATGAACAGCACCAAGAATATCATAAGCTGAGGCACATTAAACAATTGCTGTATAATGCCCCCGTGCTCAAAAACTACCACCACTCTCATCTTATTATTCTCATTTATTTCACAGAGCTAATAATCAAGCCCCACCTTAAAAGCTAGGGAAACCTGTTTGTCCAGGACAAAGTTAGTGAGCATGTATGGTGGAAATACTACTATCATATAACATTCATTCATTCATTCATTCATTCATTTATCTATCAATCAATCAATCAATCAATCAATCAATGATTAAAAAAAACCTACTTCACCAGTTGAAGACCACAGGCTCTCTCACGTTGACCCAGTTTCCACAAAACTGGGAAATTGGGAGCTAAGGCTGATGCCTTAGCAGACATACCCTGTGATCAGCAATGATGTTGTGCAATATCACAAACTGTGCTTACTCACAACTTAGTCTCCAGAACCCACCAATTTTCCTTAGTCCTTCAGACTCAGAATGAAGTTCCTGGGACCAGAAGAAATGCCACACTTTGTCCTGGTTCTATGTTGCCCTTTGTATCACTGATCCATATTGTATTACTAGAGGAATCAATCCTCTCTCTTTCTCTCTCTCTCTCTGTACTTTCAGTATGGGTTTCAGTATGAGGCATTTATGTAGGGGGTCAGGGTGAGCTGTTGGGCTATTGTTTGATAATGTACCTGGCACTTTCTCTCTAATCCCCTTTGTGTGAGATCTCTCTCTGGAAGTTACCCAAATCTTTTGCACTTGATTTCAGAATTCAGCTCCATCTGTAATAATGCTTTCCTGGCGGATGTCTTCTGAGCCCAGCCATGCTAGCGGAACACGCGGTGGAGAGATGTGGCAGCAGTGGCAGCAAGACTCCGCTTCTCTCCTTTTTCAAGAACTTCAGTGATGCATTTCCAGAGTGAAAGGACAACCAGAGTTGACTTGGTGTTAATGCCAAACTTTAAATGTTTTGACTACAGAACTAAAACACCATTACCAATTCCCTGCAGAGTGCCATTCTCACTCTCCTCTCCCCTCCTCCCCCTCCTCCTTTCCACATTGTAGCCTTTTGTATGTCTCAGGTATTAATCCCTCACTGCCGGGGTGTGTAAATTAAAGAATAATAGAGCTGCAGAGGCATAAGCTTGCAATGATGGGGAATGTGTTTGTCCGCTAAGAAGCAATTTCAGCGAAAATTAACTCAATTTCATCTGAAATAGTGAAGACTGGTATAAGCTGGCAGATCCCTGAGGACAGTAAAATTACTTCGTCAAAGCTCTGCTTGCTAAAATTAACCAAGCAAGCACTCCAGGTTATTGGCGAGATGGTGGTAGTAACTAGGTTTTAATGAACAAAAATAGCTTTTTGGATAAATAAGGAAAGTGCAAAATGTCTTCTGTATTCTGCTGATGCTTGCAGTCATGTGCTTTTGATGGCAAGACCTTCCTTGTCCCATTGTCTACTGTGTCCTTCAAACATCTTGGTCCTTGCTCGTAAAGCAATCTTGATCTAGAAAATGACGGCATGTGAATAAGCATGATACAACACCACATTTTATTTTTATTATTTTCCTACTCCTAGGCTCCATCTGACTGATACAACTGAATAAACAAATGTTTGTTTGTTTGTTTGTTTTAGAGGTACCAATACCCTACAAAGTGTTGCCTTACACAGCCTGGAGCTCACTGCATAATAGTGTAGGCTCCCTCTGAAATGTTAGGTAGCTGCCCAGGGCAGCACTTCATCAGGCGGAAGACAGCACTTGGGAACTGTATGCTTGCTCAGTCTGCTCACTGTTGATGGGCAGCTTCAAGGCCCTTGCAGTGATCTCCCTTTTCATGGTTCATGGACTGGACACCCCTTCAAATACAAAATGCATTCAACTAGAGTACTGTCCTCTGACAGCTTTCATCTGACAAGATGGACCCATGGCCACCCAGTGAGAGAGGGATGAAATTGCTGTGCTTTTGGCCTTGTGACAGGTTTTGTCAAAACCATGCAGAGTGAAAGCTAGTGGTCCTACTTGCTCCATTACAAGTTGTGAAGGGCACAGGTCTGGCTTGCAAGTGGTTATTGTTAAATGTCCTTTGCATTTAGTGGGCAGCACTAATAGAGCAAATCCAAAAACACATGACATACAGGTGTCAGGGCCTGGGCAGAGGAGGAATGGTGGAGACCGCCTCCCCATCCTGACCCTTCCAGGGAGGAGGAGGAAGACAGTATAGATTTACAACAGGGGTTTGTGGGAGGTCACAGCTAAGAGGCAGATGAGGGGAAAAGCTGGGAAATTGTGGGAGAGCCAGAACAGCTGGCTGACATGTTGTCCCATCATCTCCCAGAACACGGCGGGCCTTAAAAGTAGGAGAGCAAAAAGACAGAGGGCACTTAGCAGCACCCGTAGAGGAGGTGATGATGATGACAAATGAGGAAGTGGGTGAGACGGGGTGGGAGGTGGGGTGGAGATTCACTTGGTACAACGCCATTATCCAAGAGGCTGGGTTCTATAGCCTCTTTTTTATTTGAAATAAAAAAGAACTGTAAGAAACTTTTCCTTGTCTTTCCTTGTCTTCACACTTTCCTGGGCAACAAGCCGTGAGCTACTGACAGCATCCTGACAATAGGCCACATCCAAGTTATAGGCATCTAAAACCATGGAAACCTCGATCAACTTGCACTCTGAATTAGAACTTCAGGTGCCCAGGCTATACTGAATATGTATAATTTTATATGTTAGGGAGGAGGCAAACGTATCAAAATGTGAAAGATGACTCTTCAGTCTATTTATTTCTCACAAAAATAAGTGATTAGGAATACAGTGGATTTTTATCCACTGTATGGATAAAAAGAGTTTTCCTTGTGCCAGCACCCTGATGGTGATGATGATAATAATGATGATAATAATAATACTATTTTTTTTATTATTTATACCCAGCCCATCTGGCTGGGTTTCTGCAGCCACTCTGGGCAACTTCCAACAAAATATTAAAAATACTATAAACATCAGACATGAAAAACTTCCCTAAACATTGCACTGTGGACCACAATTATTTATGAGCACACTTGGAACCCAAGCTATAAAACGTCCAACTGGCCAAGATCAAAAATGGAATGAGATGAATAAGCAAAATACTTATTTTTGCGGAATTTATATTCTTTTATTCTTTTATTGTTATGGTGTGCCCTTGTGTCTTCTTCTTGAAGAAGAGGGGAAAGCCACTGTGCAAGACTTTTTACTAACTATAGTGTTTCACTGGCAAAGAAACATTCCCTTGTGCTGATCCATCTATATTATTCAGCTTTTACTTGTTAGGATAGACAGGGGGTTATATTTTCTTCATTGCTGTCAGACCCAAATGTCAGGAGGAGAAACCCAGGGAATAACCTGCTGACCACTGCAGCAAAATTAAGGTGGCCTCCCTAAGGAACAAGTCGCCAGCCTCTCTGCTCATAAACAAAAGCACAGGGCAATAAATTCAGACCCAGCTCTCATTCCCCTTTGGTAGAATTAATTGCAGAGATGACTCCAGTTGTCATTAAAACCGGCAAATGCATTCAGCGCAGGAAATAAATTGCCGGCCAGCCGGCAGATCATCAGGGCTAGCATGTTCCACTGAGACCTTTTATCACAGTGTTCCTCTAACTGGTGGCTGTTTTTTATGTGAACTCTCCTTCCCCATTAGCGTGGTGGTTATGGCCAAAAGGGGTATCTCTGTTTTTTTAAAACAGCAGCAGCAGCAGCAGCAGCACAGAACAGTCCCTTGATAGTTCTCTTATTTGGTCACAGTGGGCAGCCTGCCCCTTTTATCTGCTTAGTTAAAACCCTTATATCTGGCTTGATTCAAGCAAACTCAGTGCAATGGAGTGAGCCAAAGGAACTCTGACTATGGGTTCTCTCTTGAGATGCTTTGTCAGAGGAGTTGTCTGGAACCAGGGGTGGACTTTGGTAATATGGCACCATGAACAATGACAAAAATTAGTGTCCCCCCATATTTTTTATTTTCACAATAATTCCTTTTGGTACGGTTGCTTTTTTATGGATCTTCTAAGTGGTACCTGTATAAATATAGGGTTTTTCCTGCTATATTTATTATTACTATGCTGCCTTATATCATGTCAGACCATTGGTCTACCTAGCTGAGTATTGTCTGCACCAATTGGCAACGGCTCTTCAGGATTTCGGACAGGAGATATTCCCAGCTTTATCTGGAGATGCTTGGAGTAGAACTTGGGACCTTTTGCATGCAGAGCAGAAGCTCTACTACTGAGTTTTGGCCCTTCACCTAACCTGCTCTAGCATCAGGAGGCCTCTGTGGCTGGTAAGGCTTGCTCCCACAGTTCTCTCCTTTGATCCAAGTTGGGTGATGGTGGCACACAGCTTATGTTCTTTCATTATATCTTTTGGCGCACCAATCTATGGGCTTGAGCCCTGACAGTTTGCATGAGTGTTTGTGTTCTTGTATCCTTATGAATCTAATATTTCACTGTATTAATTGACATTTAAATTGTTCATCATTAGCAACACCTATCCTAAATGTCAGGGTTATTACAATCGTATTACAAGGAAGCAAAAAAGAAAAAAATATTAAATAACTCCCACCCGCAATTGCTTCTGAAAAACTGGAAAGAGTTTATGCAGGAAAGAACTACAAGGATGATCAAGACTTTTGAAGATAAGTCATATAATATAAGGAAGAAGCATTTGAGCCAGAAGAAAAGGAGATTTAGAGACATGAATATATACTATTTTCAAACACTGTTCTCAGAGTGGCCATCATGGTCAAGGATCCAATCTGAAGGATAGCTTTACTTCAGAGCAATTATTGATATGCTATCATGTATATGGTGCAGCCAATTGTCCTGATAAGGATGGTTATAATTAGCCCAATTGGATGAGCTTTTTAAAAATAGAATTTAAACACATTGCTATTTTTTCAACTAATTTGTATTATTCTAAATTACTATTTTTATTTTCAGGTGTTGTTACTTCTGATCTCTGCATCTTTTTTAATAAACTGGGTTTCATTGTTGGAAATATTACAGCATTCATTATTTGTGAATAAGCAAAAGAGCATATGTATGCACACATTTATACATTAATACTACTTGTTTTTTAAAAATAAAAATATTATATTTATGTGAGGTTTTTGGGTTTGTTTTTTGTGTGTGTGAGGGAGATAAATCTTATTCATGTGGGTGTTACAGCATTTGATTTCTTTCTTTTCTGATTCCAGTTTTCTTGCTGTCACTGTGTATATTGTGTTGGGACACACTTCCTTTGCTTAGCCTGAAGGAATTAGCAGAACAGAGGAAAGTGGAAAAGTACAAAAATAACACCAGAGGAAGATGGACTAAAGATTAAGACTGCAATGCTATGTACTGACAATACCAAGGTTTATCATGGGGGTTGGTGGAGGAGAAATGCAAGCTTGCTTCTACACCCCGCCTCCAAACCAGCAACAATTTTGGCCCAGATCCTCTCGCTATTGTGCCCTTCCCTTTCCCCCCTACTTACTGGTAGGAAAGTGCTTATGGGCAGTTGTTAGGCAAGAGAAGGTGCTTTGAACCTGGGTAGCATTTTCTTGAATGCTCTCTTGCAGCCTGCAGAGTCCTAGTAATTTGTATAAGCAAGCAGCAATTTGAGCAAGAATGGTTTTCCTCTGGTAGCTGCTGCAAGGTTAAATTGGAACCAGTGACCTTGAAGTACCAGGCTCCATAGCCCATTTCACCAGCATC